ACCGAACAGGATTACACATGGTTCTTGGTAGAGCACTAATAATATAATATTTGTTATTCAAACTGTCTGTATCTGGGTTTTGTAGTTGCTGCTCAAGGGCCTTCTTCAGCAGGTCGTGAAGCTCAAAATGGCTAATGATAGGGCATCAAGGATCAGGTAATTTATATGTTTAGTCAAACTAGAATAAACATGTTACATCTCCTTTTTTTGATCTGCTCTCGAAACCACATTAACTCAGTCCCCTTTTCTTATGCTATTCCAGAGTTTGTCTGACATTTGGCAATCTAAGCATGATTGTTTCATGACCGAATGACTACCTGGATGATCATCTTTGAAAAGCCATGGAGGAGTCACCAAAATTTAGGAGAAATCGGCATCGTCGGGGCCTTACCCATAGATTGCAGTCGTCGAGGCCTACACGAAGCATGTTTTATTTTAGTTTTATGAATTATTTTTTCTAAGCATGATTTTTTTTAGTTTTATGATTTTTTTGTCGCCACCGTAGCGTTAGAACGGGCCATTATTCCAAGGGTGGGGGAGGGTGCGGGTCGTGGGCCACCGCCGCCCGCCCTGGGATCCTCTCCCCCGCGGCGCTCCCTCCGTCTTCCTCCATGGGGTGTTCTCGCTCTCGCTGATGCCATTCGACCCGAGCTTCCTGTCGTGGCTGAGCGAGCTAAGCCCGTTCCTCCCCTCCGCCGGCACCCGTGCCGTCGTAGCCGGGCTAGGCTAGGCCAAACACCGTTCACGCCGTGGATGAATTTAGCACAGGTACTATACTAGTCTAGAGAATTCGTTGAATATTTTGTGCCCACAAGGAGCTCAGCGGCCACCTCTGCACGACTGCACCGGGGATGAGCATCACCAATGGATGGATAGGGTGCGACAGGTCTTTTTTTATATTCATGCACTGCTTTTTTAAAAAGGGGTCCCATAATAAAAAAACTGGTTTTAAAGTCACGATTATATTCTTTCCCGGATGTATAATTAAATTTTTTTGATAAACAATTATGTTTTTTGTCTGAGGAAATAGCCTACATTCTTGGGCAATCCAAACGCTCATAGCCCCGACCAAACCCTATTTGCCCCGCAGCGTAGTTAAAAAATCTCTGTCCACACTCCACGCTGACCACTGCTCGTTGTCGCTGGAGCGTCAGGGTGAGACAGAAGCCTCTGGTCTGGGGATTTAGATCGGCTGACTTCAACCCCATCGATGTATGGCTGCAGTCGCAAAAATCGAACCGTCCGTTTGCATCCAACGGTTTGACTCTCCACGCTTTCCATCTAGCAGGCCACGCTGCTTGTCCAGCCCATGGAAGCCCACCAGAGCACGGACATTAGGATTCTTGCAAGTCCAGGCTCCATGCCCTATCGTTCCCAACAAGCGGCCATGGACGGAGCAGTGGAGCACGCACCCCCACCACCGCCGGAGCACGCGCCCCCCGTCGGAGCCCCTGCTCGTCGCCGGAGCACCCACCCGTCACGCCGGATCCCTCGCCCCGTCCCACGCCGAAGCCCGTGCGGCCGTGCCCGCCATGCCGGAGCTCCCGGCCCCCGCCGGAGGACACGCCCCTCGCCGGTGGACGCGCCCCCCGCCGGAGCACCCGCCCCGCGCCGGAGCTCCCGGCCCCCACGGAGGACGCGCCCCTCGCCGGAGGACGCGCACCCCGCCGGAGCAACCGCCCCGCGCGACGCCCCTGCCCCCGCGGCGGAGCTCCTGCCCCGCGCCGGTGCCCTGCCCCGCGCCGGGGCTCACTGCCATGGCGACCTGCTATTGATGTTTCTCCGATTTGCACCCTCCATATTTGATTGCAGGATGCCGATGCCTGCACTGAACGTTGATGCCTGTACTGAACAAAGAGCTGTTGAGCCGATGCCTGCACTGAACATTGAAGTGGGCAAGAAGAACATGCAATTTCAGTTAGGAAGCAATGTGGGTGTCGTTGGAATGTGGAAGTGATCAGACTGTACTAGTTTCTTCTAGGAAGCAATGTGTGTGTATGCCTGTATGTTCTCAGAATCGAAATGAATACATGTATCCTTCTGATTGAATGAATGAATGTTCCCAGAATTGTGTTATGCATATAGGCTATCTGAAATATAACAGAATTTTTCCAAGAATTGTTCCCAGAACACTTGTACCATATATATGCCATTCAGGCCAGCACAAGTCAAGGCAATAAGAATGTAACAGAAATATGTTATGATGATGTTGGAATATAGAAAAGGCACTGCTGATTTTTGAAAGTTCACAGTCTGCATAAAGATGTCCTTGTACTACTGCTTCTAGTATCAAGTGCATATGAAGCTGCAAAAAATGTATCATGACTGAACTTTATAATTCACCCATGAAACCAAAAGCTATACAATTCCCATATTGTCTAAAAGGTCATGAATCTGCAAAGCATCACCACCAATCCAAAAGCTCCAAAAACATCCCTAGAAATCAGCATTAAGATCACCGGTGCTTTCTCTCTGCAGAATAAAAGAACAAAGTATTAAACTCTTTACATTCTTTTGGACATAAAAAATCATCACTTAGAAATATTACCATCAATAGTTCAGAGAAAGCATTAATAGTCAAGTATGATTCGGTCATCCCTTCATTGGGACATGAAGTGCTAGGAGGCATATCCTGTACTGCTGTAGTTTCTTGTGCCAATTTAGGTGCAGATTCTTGTGCCTTTCAATAAAAGAGAATAAAAGTTACACAACTGAATATTTTTATAACTAAACACAAATAATGTTTTTGGTGCAGATACATACCATTGAACCCTTATCATTCTTCTTGCTGCCTTTCTTTGGAAAATTGCGCTTCTTATCAAGCCAAGTTCTTTTGCGTTTTTCTCATGCCTAATGTGAAGACATTCTTCATGAAACATTCAGCCCATTTTTTTCTTCAACTTATATATACTATCCAACCAAGTTTGTTTGTTCGTCTTTGTCCTCATCATATTGAATTCATGATCAAATGTTGCCTCATCTTCATACTCATACATACATGCACTAAAATCTACGAGAATACTAGGTTCTTCCTGGCTGCCTTCATCTACATTTTTGGTTGAAGATCTTGTTTTCTTCTTGCTGCCCTCAACTATATTTTTAGGAAAAACACTTGATTCTTCATTTTCAGCAAGATGTTTGACATCATTCTGCATAATATGGAATGTACACAAACTATGCCATGCTTCTAAAAACACCTCCTTAACTACTTTTTCCATTGCATAATCTTGATCAGTATAGATTGTTTTTGGTTGCTTTCTATTATGTGCTTTCAGGAAGGTCTGAAATAACCACTTGAATGACTCAAATGTCTCATCATACATTAGAGTAGCACCAAAAACCACTGTTTCCCTAAAATGATTGAACCCAACAAATACACCAAAAGGCCTACTCTCTTTGTTTGTTCCAAAAGTAGTGTCAAAACTAACAACATCATCAAAATATACATAGTCAGTGAGCATTTTAGCATCAACCCATAAAATATTTGCTATTTGTTCTTCCTGGTCCATTTGCAATGCATACTGGAATGATGGGTTCTCAACAATTTTCTCCTAAAAGTACATAAGCATACTTCCTGCTTGATCATATGCCATCTCTCGTTGCCGCTTGCCTCGTAAATAGTTCTTGTGATCACGGAGTGTGTAACTGAGATTAAGCGAGCCACCAACTTGGATAGTAGCCAACTCATGTGCCAATTTGGGTCGAATTCCCGCATCATCTGCTGTCTCAATCTCAAAACCTTGTAAATCTGAAATCTTCCTTTGAGACACCATCAAGTGTGAGGTTTGTGGCAACTGAAGGACGTGATTATGTTCCAAAATCAGATCAGCCACTTTATAATTTCCCTTCTCCCGGTCTAGTACAAGACCCATGCGAACTTGACAATCGGTTCTAGTTTCAGCTCTTGGACACTTTATTAGACGACCTCTTTTATCTTCCACTCTATGACCCTCATTTGCACAAACATATCTACAGGATCTAACAATTCCATCTGAACTTCTTTTTGTTTGTGTATCTTTTTCTAACCTCAAAGCCCTTTTGACCTCCATAACTAACCCAAAACATTCGGGCCTCATTTATATTACTGAATTCCATGCCAACTTGAGGTAACAATCTAGGAATGAAACACTCTCTACAAATAAATGATTAGAAAATGTTATGTGTGCTGCTAAGTAAAAATGTGAACAACTATAGGATCTCATGGACAAAAATGAAAAGCCATGGTGTAACACACCTTTTCTCTTCCATCTTAAATATCCAGATTTAGTTTTGATGTAGATTTTCCATCTCAATCATGCAGATTTTTCATTGAATCAAACCCTAAACAATAGAACGAGTCACTAAGGAGGACAAAAAGGAACCAAATCAGAGTAACCTGGAACCTGAGCACCTGGGCACCTAAGCACGCACGTGAGGATGCAGAACAACGAGACGATGGCTAGCCGGCACTTGAGCATGCAGGACGACGAAGACGATCGCCTTGTGCCTTCCCCTCGTGGTTCGTGCCAAAAACATGAGCAGCCTCGCGCCAAAGGAGTCAGGGGCCGCGCCAAAAAGCATCTATGCGTCAAAAGGAAAAAAAACGAGAGCACAAACAGGCCGTCTCTTCATGGGCCGGGGACCAAATAGCTGTAAGCATTCGTCTCCTGCTGCAGCCCTCCGATGGAGAGTGGATGGACTGATTTTGACGACTGCAGCCAAACGTCGTTTCCAGTGAAGTCAGCCGATCTGAATCCCCTGGTCTGGATACCCCGCAGTTCAATTTCCGCCGCACGATCCCTCAGCCTCGATCCCACCGTCCGTTCACCAGCCCGCCGCGTGACTCCCGCACCCCAAATTCAAATTTCGAATCCCAGCCCCGTTGCCCGCATCCCTTGGGCTTCGATAAACCCCCCCAACCCCATTCCTTTCTCCCCCCAGATCCCCAATCCCCAGCTCCGCACACCCCACCTGAAACCCTAGCGCAGGCACACGACCTCCGTGTGCAGCGCGTCGCCGCCATGGCGGGCCCCCTCCACTCCAGCTCCGGCCACAACGCCGCCGCCGGCGGCGGGGGCAAGACCATCGAGGAGATGTACCAGAAGAAGACGCAGCTGGAGCACATCCTGCTGCGCCCTGACACCTACATCGGCTCGGTGGAGAAGCACACCCAGGCGCTCTGGGTCTACGAGGACGGTGCCATGGTGAACCGCTCGGTCACCTACGTCCCGGGACTCTACAAGATCTTCGACGAGATCCTCGTCAACGCCGCAGACAACAAGCAGCGGGATCCCAAGATGGACGCGCTCCGCGTCGAGATCGACGTCGACGGCTGCTGCATCTCCGTATACAACAACGGCGATGGGATCCCCGTCGAGATCCACCAGGAGGAGGGCGTCTACGTGCCAGAGATGATTTTCGGCCACCTCCTCACCAGTAGCAACTACAACGACAACGAGAAGAAGACCACCGGCGGGAGGAACGGATACGGCGCCAAACTCACGAACATCTTCTCCACGGAGTTCGTCATCGAGACCGCTGATGGGCGTCGCCAGAAGAAGTACAAGCAGGTGACATGTTTTGGCTGTCTCTTGAGCGCTCTTCATAAGGGCGTTTTGCCCTTTTGGGTTGCCATATTTCCGGTGCTGATGTGTTTTGAAATGGGGTAGATCTGTCAAAACAAATTAGCCACTAGAAATTTTGCTTCGGATTCCATTGTTCTGTTGACTAGCCATATGATTATTAGAACTAAGTGCCTTCTGTTGTCAGTTTAAAATCTGGTGGATAAAGCATTCGAGTGTAGGTTGGAATTTAATTATTCTACTAGGCGTGCACAATTTTTTCAGCAGTTCAGTATAGTTCTCTTTTGCTGTTCAGGAGTGAATCGGTTCATAGATTTTGTCCTTTGGATACTTAAGATACCTTTTCAATTTAACACTGATCTCTAGTTGTTTTTGTGATACATGCTAAAGTTGTTACGAAATTTCATCTTAAATTGTTGTGGCATTGGTTAGTAAGGTTTAGTATCAGCATGGCTCCATTTGTCACTAGTTTAAAGCTGACTTTTAGGGTCCAGATGGCATGGTCAATATGAATTAATTCATTCTCTACATGTTACGGGATAGCCATTCTAAATCTCAAGATAGAGTGTGAAGTTTCTTCTTGAATTCAAATGCAGGTTTTCTCTGAGAACATGGGGAAGAAGTCAGAGCCCCAGATTACCAAGTGCAAGCAGGGCGAGAACTGGACCAGGGTCACCTTCAAGCCTGATCTTGTCAAGTTCAACATGACCCATCTCGAAGATGATGTTGTAGCCCTCATGAGGAAGAGAGTGGTTGATATGGCAGGCACTCTCGGCAAAACAGTGAAGGTTGAGTTGGATGGCCAGAGGGTGCCCATAAAGAGCTTCCCTGACTATGTCGACCTGTATATGAAGAGTGCTAACTGCGACAGACCTGATAATTTCAAAACGTTTGTATTAATTTTCTACAAACATATAGTTTTGGTAATGTCGATAAACAAAAAATTTTGTGGGTTATATCTGATCATTCACAATGGGTTTTTTATTTCAGGATTTATGACAAAGTAAATGATCGGTGGGAAGTGTGTGTTTGTCCAAGTGAAGGGCAGTTTCAGCAGGTAATATTGGGTTATGTGAGAGCAGCTTCTTGAGTTGTGGTTACACTTGCATCCTAAAATCTGCTATACTATTGCAGGTCAGCTTTGTCAACAGAATTGCAACCATAAGGGGTGGAACTCATGTTGATTATATCACCAACCAAATTGCCAACCATGTGATGGCCATTGTGAATAAGAAAAACAAGAATGCAAACATGAAGGCGCACAATGTGAAGAGCCATTTGTGGGTCTTTGTTAATGCGCTCATTGACAATCCGGCCTTTGATTCACAGACCAAGGAGACCTTGACCACTCGTCAGGGAAGCTTTGGGTCAAAGTGTGAGCTTTCTAGTGAATTCCTCAAGAAGGGTATGTGATACAGAACACTATAGTTGCTTACATCAGATTTTTACTGCTCAACTAATGCTAATGCTCTCTTTGTAATTTGTATGATTGCAGTTGAGAAATCCAGTGTAATAGAGAATGTCCTATCTTGGGCTGATTTCAAACTCAACAAAGATTTAAAGAAGACTGATGGAAGCAAGAAGTCAAGAATTTCTGGCATCCCTAAGCTTGAGGATGCAAATGAAGCTGGTGGGAAGGACTCTGAGAGGTGCACCTTGATCCTGACTGAAGGCGACTCTGCAAAAGCTCTTGCTGTGAGTAATGCATCTATATAACTTTGTGTACTTTAACTATTGAGCTGAAATGCTGAGATCCGCCCCTGCAGATGTCTGGCATAGCTGTCGTAGGGAGAGATTACTATGGTGTATTTCCTCTCAGGGGAAAACTGTTGAATGTCAGGGAGGCAAACCACAAGCAGATAATGGACAACGCTGAAATTCAGTACATAAAGCAAATCCTGGGTTTGCAGCATGGAAAGCAGTATGAAACCACCAAAGGATTGAGATATGGCCATCTCATGATAATGACAGATCAGGTTTGGCATACAACATCTCCAAATTTATATCAACTAATCAAAATTTAGGATCATGATAATGGCAGATCAAGTTTTGTTTGCTCATGCTTTGACAACCAAAATTTAGGATCATGATGGTTCCCATATCAAAGGGTTGTTGATTAACTTCATTCACTCATTTTGGCCGTCTCTTCTTAAAGTTGAATCTTTCTTGGTTGAGTTCGTCACTCCAATTATCAAGGTAGATAACAGTTGGGTTTTATCTATGCACATATTTTTATGTATTTTCAACTTTTATTCTTGATCCCATACTAGTTTGCACCAGAGGGATTTTTTCCCTGCCAGATGTGTAATTTTTGTAAAATATCTGTCTGACTGCCATGATAATACTTGAATTCACTTGTCCAGGCAACCAGAGGTAAAACTACGAAATCATTTTACACAATGCCAGAGTATGAAGAATGGAGAACGAATTTAGGAGCAAGTGCAAGTTCATGGACTATAAAATACTACAAGGTCTGTTTGTCCCTTCTAGTTCCTTTGGTTTTTGTTTCACTGATTTGTTGCTTGTGTATGCTTTTGTTATTTTCCTTTGCTTGCTCTTGTTAATTCTGTGGGTATTTGCTGAGAATGACAGCATTCTTATGTTGTTAATCATTTATGTTAATCATTTAAATGGATCTTTGGCACAGGGGTTGGGAACAAGCACAGCCCAAGAAGGTCGGGAGTACTTTGAAGCTATTACTGATCACAAAAAGGATTTTGTCTGGGTAGATGACCAAGATGGCAATCATATCGAGTTAGCATTCAGCAAGAAACGGATTGCTGATAGGAAACAGTGGCTTACAAATTTTCAGGTTAGCTCTTGCATCTTTCCCCAGTTCGGCATGGTTTGTTTATGCTGGATCAACACTAAATCTGCAAACTGATTTTCAGCCTGGAACGTATATTGACCAACAAGAGAAAAAAGTCAAGTATAGTGATTTCATCAACAAAGAGCTGATACTCTTCTCAGTGGCGGACCTGCAGCGATCAATACCTTCAATGGTTGATGGCCTTAAACCAGGTCAGAGGAAGATTCTGTTTTGCTCATTCAAGAGGAATTTTGTTAGGGAAGCTAAGGTGCGTCTTTTGTTTACCTTTCCTTGCATTACAGATTATCTGGGGTTTATTTATTTATTTTGTTGTTTCTTCTGTTGACCACAGGTGGCTCAGTTCTCTGGTTATGTGTCAGAGCACTCAGCATACCACCATGGCGAGCAGAGTTTAGCAAGTACAATTATTGGAATGGCTCAGAATTTTGTTGGCAGCAATAACATCAACCTTATGTACCCTGGTGGTCAGTTTGGCACCAGAGCTCAGGTGGGATAACAGTGCAAAAGCTTGTACTGATGAGGTGCTTGTTATGACATAACACTGCCAGAATTATTGTCATGTGTGTTTTACATGTTTATATATCATTTCAGGGAGGCAAGGATGCTGCGAGTCCTAGGTACATCTTCACCAAGCTGTCTCATATCACACGTTCAATTTTCCCGAAGGATGATGATATTCTACTTAATTATCTGAATGAGGATGGGCAGTCAATTGAACCCACCTGGTAATGTTAGCGATTGCATATTTACATGATCTGTCCTTATCACAATCACATATTCATAGTGTAGCTAATGACAAGCCCTCTTTTTCTTAGGTATATGCCAATTCTTCCCATGGTCTTGGTCAATGGAAGTGAAGGAATTGGAACTGGATGGAGCACATATATTCCAAACTACAATCCAAGAGACATTGTTGCTAACCTCAGGCGGTTACTGAATGAAGAGTCTACTGTACCAATGCATCCATGGTACAGGGGATTCAAGGTTAGTATTATGAGTTGGCTTTTGCAGTTGCACCAAGGCATAGTTTTGTAAATACTACTCTAGAATTATTGGTTGTACTAAAGCAAACTTTCTACGCCCAAATTTACAGGGTTCTATAGAGAAGACAGTCAATACAAAGGTAGCTGGTTCCACGTATACCGTCACTGGAATCATTGAGGTTGTTGACAACACTACACTGAGGATCACAGAATTGCCAATCCGCCGTTGGACGGGGGATTACAAAGATTTTCTTGACAGTTTATGTCCAGATAAGCACAACAAGGACAAAGTATCATTCTTAGAGGTAGTTGACAACAGAAAACACCTTCGCTTGTGTTCATAATGTTTGCACCATCATATATCATAAACACTTTTCCTCAATTGCAACTATTTTACAGGATTTCACAGCGCAAGGTGATAATGAAGACATTTACATTGACCTCCAATTAAGTGAGGGAAATATGAATATAGCTAAGGAAGAAGGACTAGTGAAGAAGTTTAAGCTGACAACAACAATTGGAACATCAAACATGCACTTGTTTGATTCAGATGGTAAAATTCGGAAGTACGACACTCCTGAGCAAAGTAAGTGATATCTCGTATTGTGTGTTGCTACAGACCACATTTTCTTGTCATTTAATCACTACTAAAAGTGTGATATTTCTGTAGTACTTGAGGAGTTCTTTCAATTAAGGCTTGAATTCTATGTTAAGAGAAAGGTACATCTGGTGTCTTTGTTATTTTCAGAATATTAAATGAAAGCCATACTAACCAATTTTTTTGTGCAGGAAGCATTGTTGAAAAATATCAAGCTGGACTTAAAGAAGCTTGAAAACAAAGTTAGGTTTATCCGCTGTGTTGTTGATAATGAAATTATAGTTAACAATAGGAAAAGGGCAGATCTATTTTTGGAGCTCCAGCAGAAGAATTTTGATCCTTTCCCAAAGAAAAAAAAGAGGGCTGAACCAGCTGCTGTTGGTGCTTTAGAAGAGGATGAAAATGAAGAGAGTCCTGAAACTGAAGGAGCGGAGCCTAGTGACTATGAGTATCTCCTCGCAATGTCAATCGGTACCTTGACTTTGGAGAAGATACAGGAGCTCAATGCTGAGAAACAAAAATTAGTGGATGGTGTTGAGGAACTGAAAAACACATCACCAAAATCACTTTGGTTGAAAGATCTTGATGCTTTTGAGAAAGAACTGGATGTAAGCAATGCCATTTTCTGATGTTCTGTTTACACTTCTGTGTTCTGCTACCTCACTTGCGTACTTTGATGCAGGTGCTTGATGAAATGGATCTAGACGAGGAGCGGGAAAGGGAAAAGAGGATAAAGGAAGGCAAAAAAGGGGGATCAAAAGCTGCACCCAAGAGACAACGTAAAAAGGCTGCAGTTAAAAAGGAAAAAAGCGATACAGAAGGTATCTGTTATTCCTCCACTGCAGCAAGTTTCCTGTGGCATTCCTATGGAAATGATTAGCTCTGTTTGAACTCTGAACCAATGTTGAAACTCTGATCGTCTGTCACAGACGATGATGCGGCTGAACCAGTGGTACCAAAGCGTGGAGCTCAACGGAAGAAAGCATCCAAGAAGGTTAGAATCTAACATGCTAATCCTTGAGTTGACTAAGTATTTTTTAGTTGCACTATGCTAATAAAATAGTTCTACTTTCTAAGGCAAATGGTTCTGGGTCTGATGACGAAGATTATGTAGCTGTGAATCCAAAACGTGAACATCAAATCAAATGAAACAATCTATTTAACTAGTTTGTGTGTAATAACTTTTTTATTGGTTTTATTTACAATTCAAATATGAAAATCTTACAGGCTCCTGTGGATGAAGAGGAAGTTGACATGCCTTCACTAAAAGACCGTATTGCTGCTTTTACTATCAATGACTCCTCTCCGGATCATTCTGGTAATGCCAATACACATTCTATCAACTTGTTGTATTTGAATGGTAAAAAGGAGAGTTCTCTGTTTAAAAAAATTGAGTTGATGGACAAGCAACTTTGCAGCTATGGAAACTGAAACAACAGAACAGCAGAATGAAAAACTAGCGACAAAGGGACCAAGCAAAAGAGGTGGAGTAAACAAGGCATCACCATCCTTCGCGATGATACCATCTGATGATGAGGATGACGATTTTACACTGGATGAAGTCTCAGAGGTCCAAGCTCAGAAGAAAGGTAGAGGAAAGAAGCCTGCTGCCGCTGTGAAGCCAAAGGTTCCTGCCACCAGGAAAAGGGTGCCGGCTCAGGGCAAGGCAGTGCAGAAGAAAATAGATGAGATGCTCAAGCCCACTGAGGATAACAACACCTCCCCTGTGAAGAAGGTCAGGAAGATGAGGCCCTCTCCCTTCAACAAGAAGAGTGGCTCAATCTTACAGAGAGGCTCGACTGCCGCTTCTGCAAGCTCTGAAACTACTGCTGAAGCTTCACCACCCTCTGGGAGCTCTGCAGAGCCAGTTGGTGCAGCACAACCTAGAAGGACAGCCAGGGCCACCAAGAAGCCTGTCTATGTTACTGATAGCGATCCTGAGGATGAAGTCGTGGAGTTGACTGATGATTCTGACTTTGATTTGGATGGTGACTCTGACGAGTGAAGGTAGCTGTCATCCATGTGCCGTTGCACGTGCTACTTTGAGACGCATTTCTTGTTCGATGTATGTGTTCATTGTGTTGTTCTGTTGACCGTTGTTGCCAAGAGCCCAAGACAATTACCTGGTTAACTGATTTGTCTGTTATTTTTGCATACAAGTGTGCCTGTGGTATGCTTTGCAGTGAACGTACTGAGTTCTGACTTCTGATGCTGCTCGGCAAGGGCGTCCACGAGAGGGCTCTGTAGCATGTGGTCTGTGGGGGGTTGGGGTTCTGAATGATACAGCATTGAGCTAGAAGCGTGGCGCTATGATAGATTTTTTAAGCTGGTAGCCGTTAGCGTATGGAGAGCGATCCGTTTGCAGGTTTCCATCCTCGCCCTCTGGCTTCTGCTAGTGATGCGTCGTGAGCGGTTAGCACGTTGGTGAACAAGCTCAGCGGTCCAGGTGCCATGGCGACGACAGATGAGTTAAATACACTGAGCTGAACATAAGTAGCCTAACCGAGAGTACAGTCTACAGAGTTACTCCGTACAAGGTATATAGTATCAGAATCATTACCATTTAAGCATTGTTTTACAGTAAGCGATTGGGTCCGTTGGATATCGAACAGGAAGAGATATGGACGCCTTACATTGCACATGTAACCAAGGACAAGGAAACGGTCCATCGTATCTACACAGCATTTGTAAGTTGAAAATGGCATTTCAAAAAAGAAAATATTTCGAAAAATGATATCGTTTCCGAAAAAAGGTGTTTTCTTACTCCTGAAACTTTTGTTACGTGCCCAGACACATTTCAATTTAAAACCCTGAAATATTTGGTACCTGCCCAGATCAGCGCGCATATCAATTTGAAAATCCCTAGAACCCTAAAGTGAACCATTTTCGCTGTTCCACTTCTGCCCGAGGCTTCTTCCTCTTCCTCCGTTGCTGCACCCTTGCATACAGGTAGATAGCTAGAATGGCAGAAATGAGCCAACGCTCTCTTCTCCACGGAATACCAGCAGAGGTCATCGGCTCCTTCAATGGTTGATGGCCTTACGCCTGACGCCTGAGTCGCCTGACTGCACATTCAAGGGGAACTTCGTAAAGGAAGCAAATGTGTGGCATCAAGCATATATATATAATTTTACAATTTTTGTATATATTATTATTACAGACCATCAGTGGTCTGTTACCATTTCGCTTGGTCTGTTGGCTACAGGTTTCTCAATTCTGTGGTTATATGTGGCAGAATACTCTGCATACCGCCATGGCAGAAGAGAGTCTAGGGGATAAACTCATTGGAATGGCTTAACGTTTTGTAGGAACTAACAACACTGGAGGCCATTTCGGTACCAAATATCAGGTAGGATAACAGCTTTGGGATGGGATAATCCTGTGCTCTGTGATCCATCTTATCGTCCTTGTTTGCATATTTATGTCTTCATTCAAGAGACGAGGAGACGGTTGCAACACCGAGAACATGTTCACCAAATTGTCGCCTATCACTCGGTCCATTTACCTGGAGGATGACGACGGTCTGCTGAACTATCTGCGGAGAGATGGAAAATCAATTGAACCCACATGGTAGTATTGGCTTTAGATGATCCACTCTGAATGTTTGCATCTACATAGTGATAAAATCAGTTAAAACATGCCTCTGTATCCATAGGTATCTGGCGATCCTTCCCATGGTTTTAGTCAATGGAATCGAAGGAAGTGGCAAAGGATGGAGCACCTATGTCGCTAAGTATAATCCTAGGGACGTCGCTGAGACAGTTGCTGAATGGTGAATTGATGAGTGTACTGAACCCTTGCACCTTGGTACAGGGGTTTCAAGGTCAGTAAAATGAGTTTGCCTGCATAATTCTTTTGCATTATGGCGTTGGCCTTTTTAGATAGTACACTTTATAGTTGTATTATGCAATGAAAATTTTCTGTCCCCAAACAAATAAGGATCTATTGAGAAGACAAGAAAAAAGGCAGCTGGCGTCACGTATACCATCACCAGTATTATAGAGGCTGTTGACAGCGCTACGCTGAGAATTACAGAGCTGCCAATATGCTGCTGGACTCAGGATTATGAGGAATTTCTCGAGCCATTGGCTCCACACAGCAAGAACATAAGGAAACAATAATTGTGGTGTTTATTTTAAGAACTCTATCACTTATTTACTTGGGTTTACTTGCTGTTTTTTTAACCATTTGAGTGATGCTGAGGATATTTACATTGTCATCATATTAAGTGAGGAAAATATTGATATAGCTAAGCGACAAGGGCTGGCGAAGAAATTTAAGCTGACATATTGGACCAACAAATATGGACTTGCTTGGCCAGGATGGCAACATTCCGAAGTATGACACTCTGGAGCAAAGTATGTATCGACTGACCATCTCTCTTTATGTTTCCTTATAAACAATTTTTTTTCTATTACCATCTTGTATCTAAAAGTGTGCCGTTTACAGTACTTGAAGAGTTCTTTAAATTGAGGCAAGTGCACCTGTGAGTGATGATGATGAGCACATGCCTGGACTAAAAGACCGTCTTGGTGCCTTTAATTTCATGGCCCATCTGCAGATCATTCTAGTAGTAACCGATTACAATCTGTCAGTATAATGTCTTCCAAAGGAAAAATGCTAGTCGCTCTCTTTCAAAAGTCACTGATGGTCTAACAACTTGCAGCCATGGAATCTGAAATTATAGAAGAACCGCAGAAAGAAGAAAAAGGAGGAAGATACCAAGCAAAGAGGAGGCAACAGAGAATGCATCATCATCCGTAGCAGTGGTACTGGGCAGGAAGCATGCTCAGGTTATACAAGTTTTAAGAAGGATAACGAGCTCTGCAATTTTTTTGGATAATGGGGCTAGAGATGTAAAACTAGTTTTTGCGTTTTGTTTTCTAAAAAATATTAGCCTCCCGTGAGTTAAAAGTATTTTCTTTAGTGAGTAAACTATTAAAGTTTGTTTTAATCTATTTAACTTGTTGGATTTTTCTGAACAAAGGCTGCCTATTACCATCTTGGGTGGTGAGCTAAACTTGCCAGTATCCTCTCGTGCCAACAAACTAGTAGCATCGCTATCTATAAAAACAGTCTTAATTCATGCTATTGGAGCTTTGATTAAAAACATTATAAGCTACTCCACAATTCTTCGGCCAGTAGCAATTCACCTGAGTTCTCTTTTTCTTTCACTGGCAACTGCCACAATTCTGCGCGTGTGGACACTCACTCACTCAGGTTACAGCCACCAGCTGTGTCCCTGCATCTTCCACAAGGATTGGCACAAAGCACAGCTTGCAGCACCAGGCGAGGACCCTCTGATATCAAAGTTAAGAGGAATAGTACCTGGCAGATTATACTAGCAGCATCTAAATCACACGAGTTTCAGGATCTCCTATTCAGCGCAGAACAACATCTCGTATGGGATTACGAGAGGCCTGGCAGTGGGCAGTGACCTGCTATAGAACTAGACATCAGTATCCCGAGTGGACCAAATCAGGGGAAAAACACTAGTCAATTACACGCACACAACACATAATGGATTTTTTTTAAATTACACAGTAAAATACAGACGCCCATAATACATACACACTCACCCTATGAACAATTAAATAGAGGAAGAACAGAGCATTGGGTAGTATGGGGGCACTCATCTGACTGTTGGCACCGATTGCCGGCTGTCATTCCATCCCCGCCAGTCAGGAGAGGCCACGCACGGCCGACGAGGCAAGGGGTCACCGGCAATGTCAGGGACGTACCCTGAATTCCAAAACCTAGAACCAGAGAGAGTGAACGAACCGCCCTATTCGCTTAAACTTATCAACCCGATTTATAGTCATGTTACAATGTTTTTCTCTCACAACAAATCAACTTCCATCGAACAGAGTGGAAGGAAGGAATTGGAAAGCGAGGAGAAAGGGAGTCCACCTCCAGCGAGTCTGCGACGGGAGGACCTGCTTTTGTGCAAGCCTGAACCCGGAACACCCTTCATGATTAACGCCCTAGCGCGACCGCTGTCCGCGCTCGTCCCCGCCCCACACTCTCTCTCGGCTCGGCCGCCGTCGCCGCAGACTCGTCCCCAAACCCCATAAAGGTCGAGTCTGTCTACTACACAACCATGTGTTTTATGCAGTTTCAACACATGAATTTTTTTTGCATCATAGAATTAAGATCCAACAGCCTCCACCCTTCTTATACCTTCAGCCTCCACAGATCACAGATCACAATTTTTTTTTCTATGGAAGGATAAATCATAGATCCGCCGCCACCACCACTGCCATGGCCATCTTCCAACGGACGCCACCACCACCATCGCCATGGCTGGCACGGCGCTAAATCACACGCGCCGGGCGAAGCTCACCACGGTCGTGACCTGCGCGGTGGTCACCGGTGAAAAAGAGATATAAAAAATCCATATGTTTTTTTTACGCTAAAACACATGTGTTGCGTAGCATTTCAGTTGATGGACGACCAGCCGGCTGCCGCGGCCTCGGGCGACGCGTGTTTCGAGCGGTACTGTTTTGGCGGCAGACCTCATCAACCCGCTCACCGTCTTTGGCGCTCGCAATTTGCTCTCGCTTGCCCGCCAGACGGCAAGCTCTCGCCCTGATGCCGGGCCCCAGCGCTCGCCTTCGCCTCGCGTGGTTCCTCATGGAGAGCCCCACCCTATGGCGCCCACCGCTTTCACAACGCTGCTGGCTCCACCCGCTTGCATCATAGCTCTCCGGCCCAGCTTCCGCCGCGCGCTCTACGCGTTCCACTACGTCCACTGCACCGCACCGTCCACCGCTCCGCCTCGCAATTGCGGCGCTTCCCCGCCCCGTGCGGCCTACGCCGCCCTTGCCAGGCTCGCCCTCGTGGTTCCGCCTTCAACCTCCTCTTAACGCCTACGTGCAGTCCTTCGCGCTCCTTTCGCACCCCTACGCAATTGCCCGCCCGCAGGCTCCGCTTCGCCACTCTCGCTGGACGCCCTGCGCATCGCACGCGGCCGGCCCTCTTCAGCGTGGGGATGCGGACGAACAT